TGTTGAGAAGTCAGCTGCTAGCCGTTATTGGTGCTCCCTTGTATGTTACTCTCTGTTTCTCCCTTACTACCTTTAGGATTCTCTGTCTTTGATATTTGCCATTTTAATGCTGATGTGTCTTGGAAAGGGCCTTATTGGGTTCCTCTTGAATGGGACCCTCTGAGCTTCTGGACTTGTGTGACTTTTTCTCTCCTCCAATGAGGGAAGTTTTCCATCATTACTTTTTCAAACAGGTTCTCTATCCCTTCCTCCTCCTCTTCTCCTTCTGGTATCCCTCTTATATGGATATTATTTATGTTTCAGGCTGTCCTGCATTTCCCTCAATGCCTCTTCATTCTTTTTGAGTCTGGTATATTTCAATAGTTATACTTTTGATGTGGGGAACAGATTGAGAAACGGTGGCCTGTAATTTAGTTTTGCTTTTCTTTTTAAAATGTGTTATATCTTTATCCAATTTTGATATTACACTTATGCTAAATAAAATGAATTAAATAAATTTCCATTTTTTAATTTTCTAGAATAGTTAATAGTTCCTCTAGGATTAGAAAGTTGAAAAGAAATCACTAGTAAAATCTTGTCCTGAATTTCTAGAAGGGAGGTAGTTTTTATATATATTTTTTTTAGTCTCTTGCTTACTATCTTTGAGACTTTGGATAAGTTACCTTATGTCTTTGAGTCTCAATTTCTTCATTTGTAAAATAGGATAGTAATAGTTCCTAAATAATTTCTAATTTACTATGAGAGATACATTAGAAAAGACAAATTAACACATTTTAAGACCACATATGCACTTGGTTCTAGATCACCTAAAATTTCAACTGTTAGGTACAGCAGCTGCTGTTTTTGGAGAAAGAGTAGGGGGTGGGGATTATAGCTTCAGCTACTTACTCTTGAGTACTAGTCAGTTCAGTAATTATATTTTTTTCCTAAAATATTTTTATTCTATAGACTTTAAAATTAAAACATGCTATGATACATTAACCTTCCTATAATTTTTGTCCCAGCATTTTGAGAAAATTGACATAAAACATTGTGTAAATTAAGGGCATACAGTGTGCTGGTTTGATACACTTATATGCGTATATTGCAAACTGATTACCACCATAATGTTAGCTAACACCTCCATCATGTCACATAATTATGTGTGTGTGTAGTGAGAACATTGAAGATCTAGTCTCTTAGCAGCATTGAAGTATATGATATAATGTTGTTAACTATAATCATCATGCTATACATTAGATCCCTAGAACTTTTTAATCTTAAAACTTGAAATTACAAATTTGGCTACCCTCCCCATTTCCCCTACACCTCAGTCCCTGGTACTGAGAAACAGTGTACTCTGTTTCTTTGAGTTTAGATTTTTCAGATTTTACATGTAAGTGATAACATACAGAATTTGTCTTCCTCTGTCTAACTTATTTCACATAGCATAATGCCTCAAGGTCCATCATGTTGTCACAAATGGCAATTTACTTCTTTTTCATGGCTGAGTAATACTGCATTTATCCATTGATGGACACTTAGGTTGTTTCCGTGTTTTGGCTTTTATGAATAATGATGCAATGTATGTGGCTATGCAGATTATCTTTTCAAGATCTTGTTTTCATTTTTTTGCATGTGTTTATTCACTTTTCCCAGCATCAGTTACTGAAGAGACTATACATTCCCTGTTGAATATTCTTGGCTCCCTTGTCAGTATTAACCCTGTATGTGAGGACTTATTTCTGGGCACTCAGTTCTGTTTCATTGGTCTTGCATTTATTTCTATGTCATTACCATACTACTTTGATTACTATAGCTTTGTGATACAGTGTGAAATCAGGATATGTGATGTCTCTGGCTTTATTTTTCTTTCTCAGGATTGCTTTAGCCATAGAGGGTATTCTGTGGTTCCATACAAATTGTAGGATTATTTTTTTTGTTTATGTGACATATGCTGTTGGAATTTTGATTACTATAGCATTGAGTCTACAGATGGCTTTGAGTATCACGGATATTTTAACAATCTTAATTCGTCTGATCCATGAACATGTTTATTTACTTTCATCAGTGTCTTACAGTTTTATACAGACTTTTCACCTCCTTGCTTAAATTCATCACTAACAATTTTATTGTTGATGATGCTGTTGTGAATGAGATTGTTACCTTTATTTCCTTTTTAGATGTTTTGTTGTTAAGAGCATATAAAAACAACTGATTTCTGTATGTTAATTTTGTATTCTCCAACTTTACTGAATTCATGATTAGTTTAACAGGTTTTTTGGTGGAGTCTTTAGGATTTTCTATACATAAGATACATGTATACAAATAATTTTACTTCTTCATTTCCAATTTAAATCTTTTATTTTCCTTTCCTGATTGCTCTGGCTAGGACTTTCATTCAGTACTATATTAAATAAGAGTGGTGAGAGTGGGCACCCTTGTTGAGTTTTAAAGAAAAGTATCTTTCACCATTGAGTATGATGTTGGCTGTGGGTTTGTCATATATGGCTTTGTGATAGTGAGTTATGTTTCTTCTACACCAAATTCATTGAGGACTTTTATTATAAAAGGATATATTTTACCAAATACTTTTTCTCCAACAGCTGAGATGATTGTATGATTTTCATCTTTCATTCTACTAATGTGGTATATCACAAATGATTCACAAATGTTGAACCATCCTTGTGTCCCAGGATTAAATCCCATTTTGTTAGAATGTGTGATCCTTTTAATGTGTCTTTGAATTCTGTTTGCCAATATTTTATTGAGGATTTTTGCATCTGTGTACATCAAGGATATTACCATGGTTTTCTTTTCTTGTATTTTCCTTATCTGGCTTGATACCAGGGTAATGCTTGCCTGCTGTAGTGAATTTGGGAGTGTTCCCTTTTCTGTAATTTTTTGGAAGAGTTGAAGGGTTATTGATGTTAATTCTTTAAGTATTTGGTAGAATTCACTGGTGAAACTGTCTGGTCCAGGGCTTTTGGTGTTGAGAGGTTTTTTGATTACTGGTCCAATACCCTTAGTTGTTATTGGTATATTCAGATTTTCTGTTGCATCATAACTCAGTTTTGGTAGGTTATATCCATCCATTTTTTCTAGATTATCCAATTTGTTGGTGTATAATTGTTGGCATAAAGGATATTTTTATCCTTTGTGTTTCTGTGATACCAGTTATAATGTCTCCTCTTTCATTTCTGATTTTATTTGAGTCTTCTCTCTTTTTACTTGGTCTAGCTAACGGTTTGTCAGTTTTGTTTTTCTTTTCAGTAAACCAGCTCATAGATTTCTTTATCTTTTCTATTATTCTTCTGATCTCTATTTCATTTATTTCTGCTCCAGTGTTTGTTATAGTCTTCCTTATGCAAATAGGGGCTTTGTTGTTCTTTTTCTAGTTACTTGAGATGTAAAATTAAGTTATTTGTTTGAGATCTTTCTTTTTCTTTACTGTAGGCATTTATCCCTATTAACCGCCCCCCTTAAAACCACTTTTGCAGCATTCTGTAGGTTTCGATATATTGTGTTTCCATTTTCATTTTTTTGAAAATGTTTTGATTTCCTTTTGCTTTCCTCTTTAACCCATTAATTATTCAGAAGTGGGTTAATTTCCACATATATTGAAATTTTCAGCTTTACTCCTGTTACTGATTTCTAGTTTCATATCATTCTGGTCAAAAAAAAGGATACTTGGTATGATTTCAGTCTTCTTTAATTGCTGAGAATCCTTCACGACTTATGTGATCCATCCTGAAGAATATTCCATGTGTGCTTGAGAAGAATGTTTGCTCCTGCTATTGGACAGAATGGTTTGTATATGTTTATTAGGTCCATTTATATGTAGTATGTTCCAAGTCCACTGCTTCTTTGATCTTCTGTTGGATGATCTGTCCAGTGTTGAAAGTGGTTTATTGAAGCTCCTTATTACTGTATTGCTGTCTATTTCTCCTTTTGGATCTGTTAATATTTGCTTAATATGTTTAGGTGTTCTGATGTTGGGTTCATACGTATTTACAATTGTTATTTCTTGATGACCCCTTTATTATTATAGTATAGTGACCTTCTTTGTCTCTTATTTTCATTTTTGACTTGGTCTGTTATGTCTGTAGTTACTCCTGCTTCCTTTTGGTTTCTGCTTGCATGAAATATACTTTTCTATTCTTTCACTTTAAGCCTTATATATGTCCGTAAATGTGATGTGAGTCTCTTGGAAGGAACATACTTGGTTCTTATGTTTTTATCCAACCAGTCACTCTGTGATTTGATTGGAAAATTCAGTTCATTTAAATTTAGAGTAATAAATTGCCATCTTAATTGGGTTCTTTTTAGTATATCTTATTAATATTCCATTACAGTTTACATTCAGTATTATTTTGTAGCAGTCTTAAATGTATTCTGACAGTATACATATAATTTTTTTTTGAGAGAGAATCATTGATTTGTTCAATTTATTTATGCATTCATTGGTCATTTCTTGCATGTGCTCAGACTGGGTATTGAATGCACAACCTTGGCATATCAGGATGATGCTCTAACCAACAGAGCTACCCAGCCAGGGCCACCATCTTGTTTTTTGGCTTTTTTTTTTTTTTTAAGATTTTATATATTTATTTTTAGAGAGGGAAAAAGGGAGGGAGAAAGAGAAACACTGATGTGAGAAACATCAGTCTGTTGCCTCTCATACACACCTCAGCTGATCGACATTTCAATCATATGTGGATAGTTCTCTCCCTCTCTTCCTCCCTCCCTTCCCCTTTCTCTAAGAATAAATAATTAAAGTCTTTAAAAAAAAAAAAGAAAGAAAGAAAAAATAGATGGGACTTTTCCTGATGTGTCTACTTAAATAAGTGCTTAGTATCTTAAATAATGTATTTTTAAAATAGTTTCTTACTTCAGAATGACTAACTTCTCACTATTATTATCATTAGAAAATGATCTTGGGGTTTTGGTGGACCCACCAGTTATGTGGAAGTTTGTTTTACTCTGTCAAGTAATGGTTTTATTTTTATTTTTTGTTCCAGCGAGGAGGTAGATTTGGAACTTCCAAGCACCGAAAATGATTATGTATCAACTTTAGAAGCTGATAATGGTGGGGAACCCAAAGTGGTTTTTAAAGAAAAAACAGTCACATCTCTTGGAGTCATGGCAGATGGAGTGGCCCCAGTCTTCAAAAAGAGAAGAATTGAAAATGGAAAGTCTAGAAATTTAAGACAACGAGGTGATGATCAATAATTGGAAAGAGGTTTTTGAACATTATTTTTGGACAGAATGAAGACTACACATCTTAAAAGCTTCTCTGTGTTATTTCTAAATACTTTAATGCTAAAAATTTAGATTTAGATTCTAAATGTGTGTTATGAATTTCAAATAAACCTTTTTCCATGTGAAATTTATTTTCCTAAAATGGAAGCCTGCTACATTGCATTGTATTACAGTGTATTATGTTCAGTGTCTAAAAATTGCTAATTGTCATAATATAAGATGTTATGTATCTGTTATTTAACACCTGGAAAAGCAAGGCCTTTATTCCGTTTTTATTCATATGAACATACTTATCCTGCACTGAAAATACATTAGTTTTGCACACTGATATTAACTGTTATCCAAGAAATATGAATTAGACTACATAAGAGAAGACTCACACCACATTGAGGGATTCAGTTCTGAGAATCCTGTCAAAAGGCTAATGTAGAAAGTGTGTGCATATTGGCTTAAGTTACTCAATGTAAAGTAAAGGACCAAGAACAATGACTATAGCTCAATTAGAGTGCAAATTGAACCACAAGTACAAACATGTATTTGCCCAGTTCAGTTTAAGGTAACAACTATTGCCTAAGCATTTTTACTTTGAGCAAGGTATTATGCTAGGTGTACTAAGGATATAAAGATCAGACATATCCCTATTCACTACTTCGCCTTCTAGCATAGTCCTTTTTCCCTATGTCATGCATTATGTTTATTTAGCAACCTTATTGATACATAGTGGAAATGTTTTTTAATGTTTATTTAAAACTATGAAGATGAAGGCTTGAACAAAAATAGTAAGATCTCTGACTTCAGATAGACAAATTAGAAATTTCCTGTTTTTTGGTTAAATTTCTTACTTTGAAGTAGATATCTTCTCTTTATTACTCCAAATTCTTAAAATTCTATTTTTTATAAATTGCATAGTATTTAACATTTGGTAGTAAATATTTGTCTTTATAAATTGCATAGTATTTAACATTTGGTAGTAAATATTTGTCTTTTTAAGATCGCTAGTGTACATATAAGAAAATGATAGCGTATTAAAAACTTTATGAAAATAAGTTAATATCGGGTTTTAATAATACTGGTCAGAGTCAGCTTGGCATTGGAGAGAGAATGTAGATTTGTTTTTACATTTGTTCAGTTTACTTATTTGGGTATTTTCGTGAATGCATAGCATTATAAAGAAGTATTTTAGATACTCTAGTGTCCATTTATCTATTGTGTTGCTTGACTCCTCAGTTGGAAAACGTAGTAAGACTATAAATGGAATATTGCTATATTTACTCACATTTAGCTTATAACAAAATACGCAATTGAAGATATTTTAAAACCACACCTTATTACATGGTGTTCCTCTTTGATGTATTCTTTAAACTAACTCCTTTGCCTTTTTAATAAGACAGCAGTATTCTTAAGTTTGAAGGTAAATCTCCTTAAACTAGTTTTAAGGATTGTTCAGAAAAGACTTGAGAAACACAAAAATCTTAGTAAGTCATATTGTAAAAAACTAATTTTCTATTTGCTTTCAAAAAGAGAACCTATCAACTAGATCTTTTTTTAACAGAAAAAGCATTTGATATCATTTCTGCCTTTTTCTATTTTATATATTTGTATAGTTATATGTGGGAGATTATAAGTTATATCTTTTATTATAAGTATAAAAATCCAAGCAACAGTGAAATGTTTTTTTTAGTCCAAGTAATCTCTGATGCCCTCCTCCATGACCACTGTGGGTCCCCCCCCCCCCCCCCCCACTTAAGCATGTTAACACTGGGTGTATGTTGGTAACTTATGACACATATCTATGAGATTCATTCTCTGGATGAAATGCTATTCAAAGAAACATGAACCAAACAGCCAAAAATGATTTTTGTTTTCTAATTCCGTTTTTATAAATTCTGAAAACTATACTGTGGGAACAACCCTACCTGATTTTTAAGTACTGAAAAACTATAATAATTAAAATAGTGTGCCATTCTGGCAGGTGTGAAGTGATCTTCATTGTGGCTTTAATTTGCATCTCTCTGATTAGTGATGTTCAACATTTTTTCATATGTCTATAAGTCAACAAACTTCAAGTGCTGGTGAGGATGTGGAGAAAAGGTGACCGTAGTACACTGCGGGTGGGAATGCAGACCAGTGCAGCCCCTGTAGAAAACGGGAGTTTCCCCAAAAAATTAAAAATGAAACTGCCCTTTGACCCAGCAATTCCACTTCTGGGGATATATCCTAAGAATCCAGAAACACCAATTTTAAAGAATATATTCATAACAGCATTATTTACAATAGCCAAGATTTGGAAGCAGCCCAAGTATCTATCCATCAGTAGATGAATGGATTTAAAAAAACAACATATTTACACTGGAATAGCACTTGGCCGTAAAGAAGGAACTCTGCGACAGCATGGCCGGACCTGAAGATCATTATGGTAAGTGGAATAAGCCAGTCAGAGAAAGACAAATACCATGTGATCTCACTTGCATGTGGAATCTAATAAACAAAACAAATAGAAATAGAGGCAGGATACATGGAAAAAACTGACAGCTCTCAGAGGGGAGGGGAAGGGGCTAGATGAAAGAAGGTAAAAATTAGCTAGAGTATATATGCGTAAGTCATAGACACAGCAGTGTGGTGGCCAGAGGGAAGTAGGGCTGGAGTGGGTGGAGGTGGGCAAAGGGCAGGAAAATAGGGACACTAATAGTGTCAATAATAAAAAATACAGAAGTAAATTAGTATGGTAATAGTTTATACATAGACGTGTCATATATAAAACAAATTTTTTCTGGTTGTCACTGCTGTTACCACACTTTTTTCACCATTGTGTTTTTATAGTATATTTCAACATCTGATATAGCAGATATCCTCATTCTACTTTTCTGTTTCAAAATGTTCCTATCCATTCATTACTTCAAGTAGCATTTTGCCACATTGCTATCTCTGCCTTTCCCCCAAAAGACTCTATCATACCATACCATACCTAATAATTACCCTCTTCCTAACATTTATTCTTCTATCAACATTGTCTTTCACTTAGGGTTTGGTTTTTTGTTTTTGTTTTTGCTGTTATCCTTACCTGAGGACATGCTTATTGATTTAGGGAGATGGAAAGGGAAAGAGAAAGAGAGGAAATGATACGTCAATTCCCTTTTGAACATCCCCTACTGGGGACCAAACCCACAACTTAGGCATATACCCTCACTAGTAATCAAACCTGCAACCTTTCAGTTTGCATGGTGATGCCCAACCAACTGAACCACACCAGCCAGGGAATCTTTCACTTAGTTCTTTTATGTCTAAATTTTGTAGTTTCCTCTGTATGGGTCCTACGCATGTTTTAAGGTTTTATTTTTAGAGAGAGGGGAAGGAAGGAAGAAACAGAGAAAGAAACATCAATGTACAAGAGAAACATCAATCAGTTGCCTCTTGCATGCCTCCAGCCAAGGACCTGGTCCACCGCCCAGGCATGTGTCCTGACTAGGAATCAAACTGGCCATGATTTGGCTTGTAGGATGATGTGCAATCCACTGAGCCACACCAGTCAGGGTGGTCCTACACATTTCTTGAAATGTAAGCTTCCTTCGAACAGTCTATTTTGTTCACACATCATAAATACATGGCACATTGTAAACACTTAAAATTTGTTTAATTAGTAAATGAAAAAAATCAGAAAAAAGCAAAATAAGAAATAAAGATAAAACTATAACTGGCAGTCATTTTTTAACAGATTACCAAAGATCAAATAGTTTGTCAATGTTTATGAAAGTGTGGGAGAATAGGTGATCTTATACACTGCTTAAGTATACAAGGCCTGTCTGGAGAAAGTTCAGCTATTGCTAATATAATGAGAACGGTCTGAGTGACATCAATGTAACCTGGCCACCAAGGAGGGTGCTCATGTGTTAACAATAATGACTTCACAGCACTTGTCAGTGAGGGCAGTAAATGCCTTTGAGTGAACATGTGTACTGTGTGGCCATTGCATTCATAATGACTGCATGATTAGAGCAATGAATCTGCATCAGATTTTGCATTAAGCTTAAACATTCCTCTGTGAAAACTATTCAGATGATTCAGGAGCCTGCAGCAGTGGGCAACTGGTGAGTGGCAGCTTCATCACAACAATATGCCCACACGTGCATTATATCTTGTGCAGACTTTTTTGTGAAATATCAAATCACCCAGATGATTCAGCTCCTCTTCAGCCCAGATTTGGCATCCTGTGACTTCTGGCTTTTCCGAAAACTAAAATCACCTTTGAAAGGGAAGAGATTTCAGGCTGTTGGTGAGATTAAGGGAAATGCAATGGGGCAGCTGATGGCAATTGAGAAAACTGTGTGAGGTCCCAAGGTGCCTACTTTGAAGAGGACTGAGGCATCATTGCCCTGTGTACAATGTTTCTTGTATCCTGTATCTTCTTCAGTAAATGTCTCTCTTTTTCATATTACATGGCTGGATACCTTCTGGGCAGATCTCATATGCTTTTAATCTGTTTACGGTGTTTTGACATCTTAAGCAGCTTCTAGCTAGAGAAAGAATGCCCTTTCCAGGGCTGTCTTAGAGATAGCAAAAGGGCTTGCCCCAGAGCACATATTTAACATAGAAATCAACCAATCCCCAGTCCATGGCCCCTACCACCTCCTTATCTAACTCTCACATCAAGCCATTATTTATTCTGCCGTAATCATCCAGATCCAGATACCAGGAAATGAGAGGTCACTCCTATAGCTCAAAGCCCACAGTTATTATTCAAACTAGCCAGTCCCATTATGTTTACTCTACCTGCCTTGCCTTTCCTGCAAAAGGCCAAAAAAACTTTGGCCTAGGCTTTCCCCTTGCCCTGTCTTATGCCAAAACCAGGTGCTTTCCCTGTTGCCCTTTGTGGCATGTGGTGATCTCCTCACCGAGGTCTGTGAGTATAATCAAGTTCCTTCTAAGCATCATTCTCATCTCTAGTGGCCAAGCCTACTTGACCATGCCATAGCCAACATGTATATTTGTAGAACAGTATAAATTAATTCAACCTCCACAGGGAGCAATTTATCAAAATAAAATTTTTAAATGTTGATAT